CAGGAGGGAGATCTTGTGGAGGAAAAGAGAACACATAGACCACATAGTACTGCTGAGATGCTGGATGAACTTGAGAGTATAATCAGGGGAGGAAGTTCTAGGAAGGCAATTAATAGTCCAGAAGGTAAAAGCTGTAAAGGAAAGACACATCATAAAAACACATGAGATCTGCATTGAACAGTATTTACATGGGCCTGGTAATGTCACTATGTCATTGGTGTTTAAAGCTTGAAAAATCCACCTACAGAAAAAGAACAGAAAAACTGTTACAGAACAGCACCTACAAAGTGTGAAAGTAAAAGTACAGGTGACAAAATTTAGAAAGGGGCGTGGAGTGGGAAGAAGAGGTGAAGGAAAGGCGAGGAAGGCTATTATCATTACATTATAATCTGTAGGGTGGAAAGGCAATATCTGGCATTGATGCTATAAGAAATTTAACTGTATTACTTGAAGTTTGAAAAAGTAAAGATACGTAGGTGATATAAATGTGTTAAGAGGAGATGGGGAATGAGGGTAATGGGATCCCTAAAGCTGCTAAGTAAAAAATGAGAGTAAAAGTGTATTTTCTTTCTTTTTAAAAAAATTTTTAAATGTTTGTTTCTTTTTGAGAGAGAGAGACAAGAGAGAGACAGAGACAGAGAATGAGCAGGGCAGGGACAGAGCGAGACAGAGACACAGAATCAGACACAGGCTCCAGGCTCCAAGCTGTCAGCACAGAGCCCTACGCAGGGCTTGAACACATGAGCTGTGAGATCATGACCTGAGCAGAAGTTGGATGTTTAACCAATTGAGTCACCCATGTGCCCTGTAAAAGTCTATTTTCCAACCATACACTGATGAACACCAGAAGAATTAGAACAAAGTGCTGAAAAGTGGTTGCCCTAGGGATCTGGACAGGGGAGGACAGAACCTGGGAAGGAACATTTGCTTTTAGTTATAGACCTTCCGTGTTATTTTTTAAAACTATATATGTGTGTTTTCATAAAAGGTGAAGGATCAAACAACTTAAAAAGCAGTGCAATTAAGAAGATGGTGATTTGAGAACTTAGGTTCAGGTTTATGAAGAATCTGGTGGATTGTACATAGGAATTAGGTTTTGTCCTATGTGATGGTAAGACCTTGAAGAATTGTTAAATTGTTTTAATGTTTATTTTTGAGAGACAGAACATGAGTGGGGGAGGAGCAGAAAGGGAGACACAGAATCTGAGGCAGGCTCCAGAGTGAGCTGTCTGCATAGAGCCCGACATGGGACTTGAACTCAGGAGCTGTGAGATCATGATCTGAGCCGAAGTCAGATGCTTAAGTGAGCCACCCAGCCGCCCTTGAAGAATTTTTATCAGGGGAAAACCTGACAACAGTCTGCATACCAGAGAAAGATTTTGAGGGATTGGTTATGTGGTATAGAAGAGAGACTGGTGATAGTAAGGGTGCCATTGCACTAGACCAAGTAAGAGGTGACGAGGGCCTGAGCCAGAAGGGTAGAAATAGGAGGCGAGGAAAAAGGCTGGCTTGGGCATTGGGTGTGTGGTGGAGCCATTCCCAGAGGTGAAGGAGAAAGGAAGGTAAGCTGATTTAGGGAGGAGGAAGATAAAAGAGTTTAGATTAGGTCCTACTGCATCCAAAGTACCTAAAGGGGTCTCTGGAAGGCCACAGGGCCATTAGGAACATAGGTGTGCAGGTCTGCAGGGATGTCTGGGGCAAAAACACAAACCTGCCCACTATCCACAGAAGCCATGATTGTGGGTTAAAGCACTCAGAGAGTACAGAGGAAGGAGCCACGGGCCAGGAAAGCATCTCAAAAAACACTAAGTTGGCATGGTAGGCAGAGGAACAGGAGTGTCCTGGGAACTGGGTGCCTCTGAGGACATCTGGCTTGTCCTGATTAGCACACGTCTCAGGCTAGACACCACTGTCAAGGTTAAGATTTACTGTATTTCAGAACTCCTGGGGTAGTCACTGCTTGAAACACACTTTATTTTCACATTCTCTATCACCATTGTCTTGTTAGGTGGCAAAAACCTGGCGGCTATTTAGTATCAAACATAATATTCAGTCTGTAGAAAATAACCAGAAAACCAAATGAACTCTTCATCTTTCATTTGTTATGTAGCATACAATTTTGGTTGCATAAGTAAGAGTAGTTGGATTGCAGTCAGTACATTTACTGGTACTTATTTTTCATGTAGTGCTGGGCTATATTCTCTTGGTTATCTATTTCAGTACAGGCAAGTTACCTCCTTTCCTTTTGTAACATTAAAAGCAACTAGTGGGACACTTGGGTGGTTCAGTCAGTTAAGTGTCTGACTTTGGCTCAGGTCATGATCTCACAATTTGTGAGTTCGAGTCCCATGTCTGTCTCTGCGCTGACAGCTCGGAGCCTGAAGCCTGCTTTGGATTCTTTGTCTCCCTCTCTCCTTGCCCCTCCCCTACTTGTGCTCAGTATCTGTCTCTCTCAAAAATAAAAAAATATTTTAAAAAAAAGCAACTATGTATTTGGAAAAAGTAACAACAGTCTGGACATGAAATACACCTGGGAAAAGATAATCTGAACAATTTATGGATACATTTAAACATGAAAACAAGTAGAATTAATGTATACAGCTGCACTACAACATGCGAAGAGTGATAATGTCTCCGTGGAAACCAGTTATGCTTCCCTTTATTCCGGCCAGCAAGATTGGGAGAACTGGGAATATAAAACCCAAAGTAAACCCTGAGTTGACAGATTGGTCATAAATATCAAGTGTCTTCTCTCAGTGGAGGCATGACGTCTCCTGCAAGATGATCTATACCACAAACACTCAGGCACACTGCTGCCATATGTCGCATATGTTATAAGATGGCTCTATTTCCCTTAACCCAGGCTCAGCATCCAGCCTCATTACTGCAGACTAACAGTGTGATGAATGATTTTTATTATATTCATAGCATTTGATTTATATGTTTTCATCTTAAATGGGTCTGCAGAGATAGTAGTTTAAATCATTTTGTTGACCTGAGGCTGAATGATAGGTCATTCAGTCAACACACACACACACACACACACACACACACACACACACACAGAGAGAGAGAGAGAGAGAGAAACTTGTAAGAATAATGGTAATATGAGAGTCCATAGTCAGCATAACCATCAACAAAGAAAGTTCCCTAGTACTCACTCATTGGCATTTAACTAAGCCAGATTTTCCTAAAATAACCATTCCCTACCCTCCACCCCCAAATCAGCATATACAGAAAGAAATAAACATCCTGACTCTGGAGTGTTAGTGGCAAAACCAGATGTGAAAGTCCGTGGAAGGGACAGTGGGAGGTGCAATCTTGTTATAGAATTTGGCCTTCTTTAGAGCTCACTTAGGAGTCTCCCTTGGGCTGAACCCCAGTGAATTTTGAAGAATGTAGACTAGCAGGAGGGTTCTCTAAGACTGAATTTTAAACACTTCATAACTCTGCAAGTATGAGGAGAAATGATCTGTGCCATGGTCTGGGACAGAAAGTGACAACTTTGTTTAGAGAGTAGAACAACTAAAAATCAAAGAATTCATTTTAGAGATCCACAAATATTGAGTTTATTTCCTCATGTAGCCAGGAACCATTTCAGATATGTGAAATGATGTATTTGGAAAAAAAAAAAAAGATGTGAAAGATTTAGCAAGATAACCAGATTCTGAATTTTCTGTATTTGTTTGATATGGACTCATTAAATTTAGTCATCTGCTGACTTTTGTTAACAGATAAGCAGCAACAGCTTCACATGCAAGAACACTATTTATGGGAGAAAAATCTTTTTTTTTTTTTTTTTTACAAATAGTTTATTGTCAAATTAGTTTCCACATAACACTCAGTGCTCATCCCCACAAGTGTCCTCCTCCATGCCCATCACTCCTCCCCCCCACATCCATCAGTACTCAGTTTTTGTCAGCATTCAAGAGTCTCTCATGGTTTGCTTCTCTCCCTTTCCCCCACCATTTCCCCCCTTCTTCTCCCCCTTGTTCCTCCGTCAAGTTCCTCCTAATCCCCCTATACATGCAAACATATGGTATTTGTCCTTCTCTGCCTGACTTATTTCGCTCACCATAACACCCTCAAGGTCCATCCATGTTGCTACACATGGCCAGATTTCATTCTTTCTCATTGCTATGTAGTATTCCATGGTATAGATAAACCACATCTTCTTGATCCATTCGTCTGTTGATGGACACTTAGGCTCTTTCCATGTTTTAGCTATTGTGGAGAGTGCTGCTATGAACACTGAGGTACATGTGCTCCTATGCATCAGCATTTCTGTATCCCTTGGGTAAATTCCTAGCACGTGCTATTGCTGGG